CATCCACACTTTCTGTTCATTCCTGTACTATGTCTGCAGTCTGTTTATCTCCTGTAGTACATCCACAGTCTCTGGTCATCTCCTGTAGTACATCCGCAGTCTCTGGTCATTTCCTGTAGTACATCCACAGTCTCTGGTCATTTCCTGTAGTACATCCGCAGTCTCTGGATATTTCCTTTAGTACATCCACAGTTTCTGTTCATTCCTGTACTATGTCTGCAGTCTCTTTATCTCCTGTAGTACATCCGCAGTCTCTGGTCATCCCCTGTAGTACATCCACAGTCTCTGGTCATCTGCTGTAGTACATCCGCAGTCTCTGGCCATCTCCTGTAGTACATTCATAGTGTCTGGACATCTTCTGTAGTATGCCTGCAATCTCTGGTCATCCCCTGTAGTACATCCACAGTCTCTGGTCATCTCCTAGTACATCCACAGTCTCTGGTCATCTCCTGTAGTACATCCACAGTCTCTGGTCATCTCCTGTAGTATTATATCTGCAGTCTCTGATCATCTTCTGTAGTACACCTGCAATCTCTTGTCATCTACTGTAGTACATCTGCAGTCTCTAGTTATCTCCTGTAGTAAATCCGCAGGCTCTGGTCATCTCCTTTAGTACATCCACAGTCACTGATCATCTCCTGTAATGCATCCATCATCTGCAGTCTCTGGCCATCTTCTTTAGTATGTCTGCAGTCTCAAATCATCTCCTGTAGTATGTCTACAGTTTCTGACCATCTCTTGTAGTATGTCTACAGTTTCTGACCATCTCTTGTAGTATGTGTATTATTGTGCCACCTTGCTCAATTATTTGGGATTGCTCCACTGCTTAATGAGTGTTAATAGTGTGCTGTAACCTCTAGCAATCAGTCAGTGAACAGTAGTGATCTGCTGTAGTCTCTATCAACCAATCAATTAGCTGTAATGATGTGCAGTAACCTCTAGCAACCAATCAGTTAGCAGTGATGATGTGCAGTAACCTCTAGCAACCAATCTGTAAGCAGTAATGATGCTCTGTGACTTCTAGTAACCAATCGGTGATCGGTAATGATAAGCAGTAATCTATAGCAACCAATCAGTGAGCAGTAACAATGTACAGTAACCTCTAGCAACCAATCAACAAGCAGAAATTATGTGTTGTAACCTCTTGTAAACAGTCAGTGAGTGGTAATGATAGGCTGTAACCTCTAGAAACCAATTGCAATTGCTGCCTGCTGTTTTTTTTTTTTGTATGTCTCAGAGAGAGAGAGTATGTGTGTGTGTGTGTGGGGGGGTGTCAAGAAAATGTTTGCCCAGGGCCCAATCAATATTAAAGACGGTCCGGAGTCCATGCATACATGTCAGTAAGTGCCTTAGCATTTGTGGATGTGAATGTGTGAGGTCCTGGGCAGGAGATGGAAGTAAATGCTTCTAAAGGCAGAAGATGTTTTTCTACCGTGCTCTACACTTTACACTATACTTTTGCGGCTTGCTATAGGGGCACTCTGGAGGCAGGAGGAGCCAGCGTTGGGGGACCCCAGAAAAGGAGAATCAGGTCTGCTCTGTGCAAATTCATTGCACAGAGCAGGTAAATATGACAGATTTTTGTGTAAGAAAAGAAAAGTCCAAATTTTCCAGTCACTTTAAGGGCTCTGTGCAGAGAAGATCAGCATCTGAACCCAGAGAAGCTGGAGGCTGATAGACTGTAATACAGGTGTAACTCGGTTTACGAACGCCTCGGTTAACGTAATTTCCGGTTTACGAATGAAAATCCATTGAAAATAATGCTTGAGTTTTCCAATTTTTTGAAAAAAACAATTTGCGCAATACGAAGTGTATGTCAGTGCCGATTTTTAAATGGAATTGCCGGCTTTGTTTTTCTTCACTATAGCTCACAGAATTAGCTGTCACTTTCCCCGGTGGTAGACATTGTGATTGATGTTGGATCTACTGCGGGGGACATTCTTTTAGTTTTTTCTTTGTCAAATACCGTGTCCTGTCTTTTTTCACACTACACTTTTTGTTTTTTTGTGAATGAGTAGCAGGACCATGCACCCATAACTCATTCACATGGGGGGCAGGATCTGGGGGCCCCCTTCTTAAAGGGGGCTTCCAGATTCCAATAAGCTCCCTGCCCGCAGACCCCCACAACCGCTGGCCAGGGTTGTGGGGAAGAGGCCCTTGTTGATGTTAAGGGCATGTGGCTGGTATGGTTCAGGAGGGGGGGGGGGGGAGTTGTCATCTTCAGGGTGGGCACACGGCTGTGACAGCTTGCGGTCTCACAGCCGGGTGCCCACTGCACATGCGCTGCGCTGCGCTTTGTGAATGGCTCTGTCGTCTTCTGGGACCTGTCACATGTCCCAGAAGACTACGGGGAGGGAGGGGGGGGAGGACAACTTCCACTTCCGATCGCCGAGGAAGTGGGAGTGGGTACCTGTCAAATTCGGGTACCCACTGCCCAAAGGTACCAATCCTTAATGGGGATCGGGGGACAAAGGCTTAAAATGGAACTTCCCTTTTTGGTGGAGCTCCGCTTTAAAATAACTCATGCGGTATTTTAGTAGCGTTTACTTTTTTCTGACCTCCAGAACAGATTAATTGGTTTTCAATACATTCCTATGGAAAATGGCGTTTCGGTTTACGAATTTTTCGCTATACAAAAACTCCCACAGAACGTATTAAATTCATAAAACGAGGTATGCCTGTACAAGGCATTACAATGAAATATTGTAATATATTTGTACAAAAATTTTTTTTGTACATTCTATGAATGGACGAATGTCGCTCGAAAATATCACTTGCTTTTAAGGTTCAATTTTAAGGTTCAGACATACGCTGTCTGAAAATTTGATTGAGAATAGTTTTTGATTCTGCTCCTTTGAATTTTCCTGTCACTGTGGTCAAAAATTACCGTAATAGAGTCTGCCATGCATACTATTATATTACAATCTTGTCAGAAAATCTGCAAAAAGAGTGTTTTGGGTCTTTTTTAATTTTTTTTATTTTCAATAAAAATGTTGATCTTTGAGTCTGATGATATGTACCAGATTCAACCTCTAATAGTATATATATCTTTTCTGTCTTATTCTCAGAGTGGATTAGATATTTTGTTCCCTAACCATAGAGCTGGTTATTTATATTTACCACTGCATAGAGATATTCAAGAATACATTGTCTTTTTTTTTTTTTAATTTACATATTAATTAAATTAAACACCAAACTTTTGTCAAGGTTTTTATCAGATTATTTAAAACAATAATCAGCAAACTAATCGATTATGGAAATAATTGTTAGTTGCAGCACTAGTTGATACTAATTGGTTTTCTTTAAAACTGGAATTTGGACCTGGAGGAAAAGCAAAAACATAGGATTGTCCTTTCCAAGGCCAGTCTAAAGCTGCCCATTATTTTTTTTTGTTCAGTCAGCGGGCCAACTGTAAAAAAAAAAAAAAAAAAAAAAAAAAAAAAAAGAATGGATTCCCACATTCACACAATCGAGGTGAAAAGAGAAATCCTCCCTGCTGTGTCATTATAATTTGACAGTGGACTTCTGGGGTTTCCAGGCTCATATGCCTGTGAAGAGATTATGAGGGGTGTCCTGTGAGTACAACACTGATGTTTTGGGAAGCTGGATACAAACATAATAAAGCTGGCTGCAGCTATTTTGAACTCTAAATGCTACCTAAGGGCCATATTGCACTAGAAATTTAGGAGCAGGAATCTGTGAGGGCTAAAAATCTCTCTGCTTTTGTTATGGTGTTTGTAGTATCTTGCTTACTACAGTGCTTGTCTAGGCAGCTACAAATCGCTGGTGTGCCATCATCATGGTCATTGTTTAGGGATATATGCTTGGCATGATACAGATACAAGTCAGTTACTATCTTTGAACAACGTGAGCAAACCTTTTCCTACATTCTAAACAGTTAATGTTAAAATGTTTTTTTTCTATTGCAAAACCTGGAATAGTTCATTAGGATGTTCTTTGCTGCTGGAGACAAAAAGAGAAATCAGTGTGCTTATGTAGCCCCAAGCCAGCTAGGTACACTTAATGCTAGTCATTGGGATTTGTTGTACTTTCATCTCTGGCCAGTTGCATGATTCATTGCCTTTGTAAAGCTACAGTAGTAGAACATAGAACATTCCGCCAGCGAGATGGAACCTTTTGTACCTAATATAAGAACAAGCCCTGTTTCCTCCTAACTTACATGAATTGGAAATTATGACTCTGCTCTGTATTTTTTCTTGCAGGGGTTGACATTTTTGGATTGGTTAATTTAAGGAGTAGTTTTTAATCTAGTCTGTGTCCTCTTTTATATAAGCTTCAGCGTAATTTCAAAATACGTAAAGAACTAACAGACAGGTAAAACAAAATTGCCTTTTTGCATACTTGAATACTACAAGAAGGAGAACAGTTCTCTCACTGGGGTGTAACCATAAAGGCCCAACTTATTCTAAGGCTTTGCCACAACAGCGTCTCAGTGATAACATTTTGCTGGTGGTGCTTTGCATCATCCATCCACAACACATGAAACTGCTGTGTATGTTGAATATTATATTGCTTGCCTAGCTGTTTGATATGCAATATTTGCAGTACGCTAATGAATTAGTCCAATATACTAAAATTTTTTTATTATGTTCATGTTGGAGTTCTTAAAGAACAGCCATGGTGGAGATATAACAGAATTTTCTAGAAGATTCTGAGTTCGATTTCATGCCATTTGTGCCATTTGTGTGGAATGCATGAGATGCTCATAGACATAGGACGCCTTGTAACCTTTTGGAGATTAGCATTCTTGGCAATGCTTAAGTCCATTTTTCTAGTTGTTTAAAAATAGCTTTTGGATCAGCTTGTTCATTTGTTTGATATGTTAAACTGAAGCAGAGTAAGTGTTCAGCTGCCTTGAGTTTCAGCTGTTATGCCTGAGTATGCCTTAATCTGCTGGCACTGATATCTTGTTTAAATATACTGTTTTACCCAACAGTGACAAGCTGTTCTTTTATGTTTTATTTCATCTGGACCTACAGATATATTGGTTCAAAGATGGGAAACAAATCTCCAAAAGAAGCGAACACTACAGAATCCAGAGAGAACCTGATGGGACCTGTTCCCTCCACACCTCTGCTTCTTCCTTGGATGATGATGGGAACTATACTATCATGGCTGCCAACCCACAGGTAATATAACATTAACTCATGACATGTTTGCTTTCACAATCAGACATGAAGTCATCGCTATTTAATGCCAGATCAACCACAGAAATGCTCATTTGCATTAATATGAGTAGAACACATAATCACTAACCATTAGCTCAGATTTCTTCCTAACATTTCCATTACGAACATTGTTGATTTTTCAAAATCCTTCTATATACTTCAGAAAAAGTAGTTTCTGTATTATAAAAAAAAAGTTCTTTGTTGTGAATACTAATTTGCTTTCTTAAAGTGAAATTGAGCCTGAAAAAATGCTGACAGGTAGGTAGATTTGTTATGACTGTAAAGACCCTCTTGGTCTCTTCTGTCATAAGTGTTCCTTCCTGCCTATCAGAGTTAATGTACACTGAGCCCCGCATGCATAGATCAATGTACATTTACAGCACGGCTCTGTGCCATCCTGCTTGCATGAGACTGAAGTCACTGCAGCCCAGCCAATAAAGTTGCCTAACATTCCAAACCCAGACGGAAGACTGGGTGAAGACAGAAGTGCCCATGAGCAGCGGGAGCACTGGCAGCGCTGGAGAGAATTGTTTGACAGGTACATGTCCTCACCCCCCCCCTCCCTTCCCGTAGTCTTCTGGGATATGTGACAGGTCCCAGAAGACTACAGAGCCATTCACAAAGCACAGTTCTTCTCGCGCATGTGCAGTGGGCACCCGGCTGTGAGACTGCAAGCTGTCACAGCCGTGTGCCCACCCTGAAGATGCCGGAGCCAGGGAGAGATGACGGCCGGTGAAACCAGCGGTGGTGACACCGCTGGACCAAGGGACAGGTAAGTGTCTGTATTGTAAAATTCAGCAGCTACAGTTTTTGTAGCTACTGACTTTTATATATTTTTTCTTAGGTGGAACTCTGCTTTAACTCTGCTTTAAAGGAATTCTCCACTGTTTCCATCGACTCCTGCAATGAGTATGAGTGACTTAGAGTGGTTGCAGCCCTGGAGCTGATTGGTTGCTCTCTACAATTAGTTGACAAACCGGAAAAGGGGTGTGGACATGGCACTGTCTTGGTTATAGCTGTGGCTTTTGTAGCTTGCCTATATACTGTATAATAATTGCCACAATCTGTTTTAGATCAGAAGATTTTATACTCTACTTTTCTGAAAACATCTTCTTACTTCTTGATAAAAGAAATTAGCGTGCATAATTCAATTTTTAATCAACAGGTCATAGTCTAGTAAATTACATGGGATTTACTTGCAAAAGTTGGGATTTACTTGCACTTCTTTCAAATCTTATTTTTAAGAAAAGTATTGGAATAATTACTAATTATTAACATTGTTTTTTCTGCTCCAAATTATTCTAATATTCCTAAATTAAAAAAAAAACTCTCAATCTCAAACCACTAAACTGCATTCACTGAAGATCCCAGACATGCACTACTGTAAGAAAAAAACTGTATTAATGATTCCTGTGTGGCTTACAAGACAGGCATGGAAGTATTCTGTTGCACATCGCTAAAGTGAATTTTGTGTCAGTTTAAGCTGAGCTGTGCGCCAAGATAAAACACAAAAAGGATTATATTCTAAGCAAATAAACTCTTGTCATTGCTGTGTACAATAATCCAAACATGAGCGCTGTGTTGTGTTTCTGGCGCTGCTAGGTTACAAGTTCCTGGCTGTCAGGAGGGAGCTCGGTTCCTTTCCCACTTCGTAGTTTAAGGATTCAAGTGGGGTCAGCTTGTGCTATCCCATAAGTTTCTTCAACTATTATGATCTCCTCTGGCTCCCCAGTTACCAAGAGAGTAAATCTTTCCTATTGCTATATTATATTTCTTCAGATTAATCTTTGTGTTTCAGTTATTCACTTTCAAACTTTGTTTAAAAAGGATGAGACTCAGGCTGATATTTGGAGCAAGCCCCCTCTTGACCATTTGAAGTGCATCTGCTGTTTTGTAGGAAGAGTTACTTAGTAAAAGAGGAGGTTGGGGCAGGCAACCACCTTTGTTGTTTTATCTTCACAATTTGTATGTGTATTTTTGTAAAGCTTTTAATAAGCACCTCCCCTGAGCAGTTCAGTTCATTTTTCATATAATATCATGACACTTCATATATACTCTACATGTTACCAAGGTAGATAAAATGAGGCTAGGGGCTTGGTTCTGGAAAAGTGTAATATCACTACGGGTTTCTGTTGATGGGTGCCTTCCACTTCCATTGGACATCAGTTTTAGATGCTTCTAAGAGCAATCATAGACCGTTGTATATGAGCTGCAATTGATCTCTTTTTGACCTTCAATTACACTTATAGATTGCATTAACCTGCTTTAGACTGCATCTACATTTCCATTGACTTGTATGAGGAAAAAAGCAGTCCAGGTCCAAAAAAAAAGAAGCCTGTCGACACAGTAATTTAAAGATTGCGACATCCTGGATGAGTGAATGATTACACCTCAGAAGTGTGTCACAAAAGCTGTAATGACTTTTAAATAGTAGCATGCATCATGTGTATGTACCACCTATACCCAGAGAATGCAGGTATTTTGTGTGTAGCCAATTCAGGAAGAGCAAATGATGTCACTGTTGCATAAATAATTACATAGTTACATAGTTAGTCTGGGTGAAAAAAGACAAAAGTCCATCCAGTTCAATCATTAAAAAAAAAAAAAAGTTATAATCCTATACTCAGTTGATCCAGGGGAAGGTAAAAAAAACACAGCAAAGCATGATCTAATTTGCTCCTGCAGGGAAAAAAATTACTTCCTGATCCCCCGAGAGGCAATTGGATATTCCCTGGATCAACTTTACCTATAAATGTTAGTATCCTGTTATATTCTGTGTATCTAAGAAATAATCCAGGCCTTTTTTAAAGGAATCCACTGAGCTGGCCAGAACCAACTCTTGAGGGAGTCTATTCCACATTTTCACAGCTCTCACTGTGAAGAAACCTTTCCGTGTTTGTAGATTAAACTTCTTTTCCTCCAGAATAATATGATTTAATAGTCTATATGTTTATAATGATTTCATATCTGATTATTATGCATTTGATTGTGGTGATGAGGTGAAAGAGTGGTGTTTATGGCACCTTAGTATATAAATTAACTTGCACTTTAAGCTGGTCACATGAATGTGCATATATCAACAGACTTTAAGAAGCAATCCTGCCACTGGCCTCAGTCATCTGTATTATTCTATGTCACATTAATAATTGTCATTCCGCACGAAACACTCTGCTGTTTTTTGTAGTTAGTTTATTTTTCTTCCTCTGTTGTCAGACTGACAAGTAAACAGTTGTAGATTGTGACATGCTTACACATCAGATACTTTATGTCCCTTCCCTATCATACATCATCTGCTAGACTAAACTTCAGTCATGGAAAATTGTATAGCACGCATTTAGTGTATACAGCTATGTATCAACTGTTTGGAGCCACTATGACATATTTGCTGTTCTCTTGTCCCAGATGTATCATCTTAAAAATGTTTATATCGGCTCATTATGTACAGTATAACAAAGTAACTCTAGGACAGTATGTGAGCTGATAAATTATAAGCGACTTTGAGGTGCAAATTCACAGTAAAATTCTTAATGATAGTGTATATATTAAATAAACACATTTTAAAATGCCATTTATATTAAGGCATTTTTTCTACAGTTGAGTTTTCACATTTTTGAAGAGCCAAAAATATATATTTTGGGGCTTTTAAGCAAGTGCAAGTAGCAACCCAAAATATAAATTATTTAAAGGATGATTAAAGAAAAAAGTATTTAAACCTTGTGTGTAGTATCACAAAGGGATCCCCATCTCCTACAGCCTCTTAAGCCTGCCATAGATGTATCGAATCTCAGCCGGTCCCTATTGAACCGGTCAAGATTCCATCCATCTATGGGCAGGCTGGTTGTACTTCAGATGATCGATCAATAGACTTGGGTACAACTTGCCTGTCAGATTTTTTTTACATGAGATTTCTGCCATAGTCCCTAGTAGTAATCATTGTGTTTTGCTAGCCGGGAAGGCTTCCTGCCAGCAGAATAATATAGCACTGCAGGAGGGATTCCCCCATCAACACTGACTGAGTTGAAGGGGGAATTTAAAAATCACATAATCTGTGGCCTGCTTTAGGAAACAATAGTGGGATACAGTCCATATGTTGATTAAAGAAATAGGCAGACTTATCTGACTACAATGATTCACATAGAATGTTGCTGTATTTTAAGGTTCCATAGCATTGCTATGAGTAATATGGGTCTGTATGCCAAGAAAGCATAGGAACTGCCGGGGTGTTGTTTCACAGGGCGGTCATAAATGGACAAATACATTTTAGTTTGTAGCTTTTGTAGGTTGTTTGTTATTTTGAAAAACCTTAATATCACTGTAAAACAATATCTTATACTTACCTGCTCTATGCAATGGTTTTGCACATAGGAACCTCAGTCCTCCTCTTTTCGGGTCCCCCCCCCCCCCGTGCTCCTGGCTCCTCTTCTCCGAGTGCCCCCATAGCAAGCCGCTTGCTCTGGGGGCACTAATGCATGCTTGCTCCTGAGGCCCATTCTGTGTGTCCATAACACACACTGTATGGGGCTGAGCCCCACCCCTGTTCGCTACTCACTGGGTGTGATTGACAATGGCTCCCACTGCTGCCTCTCAGCCAATGAGGAGACAGAGACCTGGGAGAGCAGCCACTTGCATGCACATCGCTGGATCACAATCAAGCTTGGGTAAGTATTTGGGGGGGCTGAAGGGGGAGGTGCACACTAAAGGTTTTTTACCTTCATGCATAGAATGTATGAAGGTAAAAAACCTTCAACCTATGCAACCACTTTAATATTTAAATATAATTTAATCATGCCCTATCAGGCAGAGATGCACCCCTGGTATAAGGAACATACCCCTTTGATGATGTTTTCTTTTTAGATTTATCCCTTTGTTTTTCTAACTACACAGAGCATGTATTATTCTAGTATAGTATAGCATACTCTCCTTCTATTGGTTGTCCTTCCACTGCAATATTTGCTACCAGTCATATATGCTCTGATTTTCTTTGTATTGTCCAATTTCTTTGTCATTTAAAAAAACTTTCAATAAATATTATTATTGAAAAAATGTTTTATATATATATATATATATATATATGTGCGTGTGTGTTTCATCATTTTTCATTTGCTAAAAAAGGATACAAAACATTTCTGGATTAAATGATTAAATGTTACAAAATAGTTATCTGTTCTTGTCTACAGGGCAGAGTTAGTTGTACCGGTAGACTGATGGTGCAGGCTGTAAACCAGAGGGGAAGGAGTACCCGCACGCCGACAAACCAGCCTCACATTCGTAGGTATGTATGGTTTTAATATACTTGCTAATGTCACACACTAAAAGTTGATTTTCTAAAACTGGAGAAGTCAGAATCTTGTGCAGCTGTACAGGGTAGCCAATCAGCATCAAACTTCAGCTTGTTTCATTAAACCTTGACAAAAAAAAAACCTGGAAGCTGATTGGTTTCTGTGAAGAGCTGCTCCAAATTTTGCACTCCAGTTTAATAAATCTAATAAATGTTCACACTATTAAAGTAAAATTTCAAATGTACACATACTGTTTGGGCTAATTGTTATTTTTTCACTGACCCCAACTTGTTACACTGAATTTAGCTTTGATTAGCTCATTGATGCTACATGTGTCCAGGTCACATTAGAATAGACATCAATATAGGGAAGGCCTGCTCAGTGCTAGTCCTTGGTGAAGATAATCCTCAAACAGATGCAGAGCCTTTGAACAATAACCTAAAGGAAGTGTCCCCGACAAACTAGATAGTGGACTCTCTCTAGAAAGGGTATGAGCACTTAAATGGGTCATTCTAAGCACACCCACCAGTTCTTCACCAGAGCACCTCAGAAGGAATAATAGACTTCACTGGGGAGTATGCCAGGTTGCAGCCCTTAGACACACCTGTGCAGATGGTAGTTGCCCAAGAATATAATAGTACGGTGGAAAGACAACAGGCAGTTCCAGAAACAAGGCAAAATATCAGGACAGGCAACACACAAGTGTATTCAGATACAAGCTAAAATCAGTAACCAAAGCAGCAGAAATACAGGAGCTAATGCCAACTGGCACCTAGGGCTAGGAAAAGAACAGCAAAATAGCCAAATTGATTGATAAGTTTGGTGAAAACTGGCCATGTACTGTAGGTGCTATAGCAACTAGCAGGTAAAATCTGAGGGCGACTTGACCTCCTAGTCCTGGAACAAATCAGGCTGTAGCTAGATAGAAGAAACCACATGGTGGTAGACCCACTACAACATGCTTGCAGATAAGGACTTTTTATAGGTAACCTTTGTAACCTTTATAGGTAATCTGCATACTTTGCATAGCTGGATAGCTATGCACTGTATAGCTGGATCAGTAACAGAGCCACAGAGTCAGCATAACAGCTAGGCAACTACCATTTTCAGCAGCCCCCATATTTCTCTTAAAAGGGGTTTAATTTTTGTAAGCTTTAATACATTAAGATGTTTTACCCAATTTCTTGACCAATATACAGGTGAAACTCGAAAAATTAGAATATTGTGCAAAAGTTCATTTATTTCAGTAATGCAACTTAAAAGGTGAAACTAATATATGAGCTAGACTCATTACATGCAAAGCAAGATAGTTCAAGCCATGATTTGTCATAATTGTGATGATTATGGCTTACAGCTCATAAAAACCCCAAATCCACAATCTCAGAAAATTAGAATATTACATGCAATCAATAAAACAAGGATTGTACATAGAACAATATCAGACTTCTGAAAAGTATAAGCATGCATATGTATTCAGTACTTGGTTTGGGCCCCTTTTGCAGAATCACTGCTGAGGTGTTATGGAAGACCAGGATGCTTCAATAGCGACCTTCGGTTCTTCTTCACTGTTCGGTCTCATCTTTCTCTTGGCAATGCCCCATAGATTCTCTATGGGGTTCAGGTCAGGCAAGTTTGCTGGCCAATCAAGCACAGTAATCCCACGGTCATTGAACCAGGTTTTGGTGCTTTTGGCAGTGTGGGCAGGTGCCAAGTCCTGTTGGAAAATGAAGTCCGCATCCCCATAAAGTTAGTCTGCGGAAGGAAGCATGAAGTGCTCCAAAATCTCCTGGTAGACGGCTGTGTTGACCCTGGACTTAATGAAGCACAGTGGACCAACACCAGCAGATGACATGGCTCCCCAAATCAACACAGACTGTGGAAACTTCACACTGGACTTCAAGCATCTTGCAGTATGTGCCTCTCCATTCTTCCTCCATACTCTGGGTCCTTGGTTTCCAAAGGAGATGCAAAAGTTGCTCTCATCAGAAAAGTGGACTTTGGACCACTGAGCAACAGACCAGGTCTGTTTTTCTTTAGCCCAGGTAAGACGCTTCTGACGTTGTTTAGGAGCGGCTTGACAAGAGGAATACGACATTTGAAGCCCATGTCCAGGATCCGCCTGTGTGTGGTGGCTCTTGATGCACTGACTCCAGCCTCAGTCCACTCCTTGTGAAAGTCCCCAACACTTTTGAATGGCCTTTTCCTGACAATCCTCTCCAGGCTGTGGTCATCCTTGCTGATTGTGCACCTTTTTTCTTCCACACTTTTCCTCTCCACATAACTTTCTATTAATGTGCTTTGATACAGAACTTTGGGAACATCCAACTTCTTTTGCAATTACCTTTTGAGGCTTTAACTCCTTATGGAGGGTGTCAGTGATGGTTTTCTGCACAACTGTCAGGTCAGCAGTCTTTCCCATGATTGTGATTCCTACTGAACCAGACTGAGAGACCATTTAAAGGCTCAGGAACCCTTTGCAGGTGTTATGGCTTAAATAGCTGATTAGAGTGGGACACTTTGACCCTAGAATATTGCACCTTTTCACAATATTCTAATTTTCTGAGATTGTGAATTTGGGGTTTTCATGAGCTGTAAGCCATGATCATCACAATTATGACAAATCACGGCTTAAACTATCTTGCTTTGCATGTAATGTGTCTATCTCATATATTAGTTTCACCTTTTAAGTTGCATTACTGACATAAATTTAACTTTTGGACGATATTCAAATTTTTTGAGTTTCACCTGTACACTGTAACCCAAAACACCTAGGTTGTTGACCCCTTATAGTGTAGATGACAAGAGTTACTTTAAAAAAAAATATCCTGTGTGCTGAAGACATGGTCTTCTTCCTTTCTTGAGGCACCAACAAATCTTCACTCAAATATTTTGTTAATTTTATTTCTTGAGTCACAGGTTTAAAATCTGGAACAAACCACATCTTTTCTTGTTATGATAGTTTATAAAATATGGTGTGGCTTCATATTAAACATTTCTGTGTTACACAATAGCCTTTAATGTAGGAGACATTGAAAGAGTAATTGATTTTTGAAAGGAATATGGTACGCTGAAGATATTAAAACTTCATCTGAATCATCTGGTTTTCCATTACTTTAAATAGAAAAACATTACTCAGACTTGTGCTGTATATACTGCACGTGGTATGTATCACAAATTATTTATATGGTGTCTTACCACAGAGCTTTGAAACAATATCCTGGGATTTTTTTTTGTATAAACTACAGGGCTTTTGGCCACCCAGCATTTTTGGCCGATAGTATCATAGTCTAGTTTTTCGAATGCACAAAGTATATTCTTGAAGGGCCATGACTACATCATGTCTTTGTTTCTTTTTGTGTCCTAGACCACGATCTCGGTCAAGAGATAGTGGTGATGAGAATGAACCCATCCAGGAAAGATTTTTCCGTCCTCATTTCTTGCAAGCTCCTGGTGATCTCATAGTTCAAGAAGGGAAGCTTTGTAGAATGGATTGCAAGGTAATAAGCCCTTACTTTAATAAATACTTGTGGATAGTCTTAAACAAGCATTACAATTTTTCTTTCCAGGAACAAATATGAACAATAATTCCACAGACTGTTCCTCCCAAGATCCATTAGTTGGAGGTTGCTACAATCTTAAGATGGTCCTAAACAAATTGATTGTTTTTAGTCTTGTTGAAGTTATCAGCATTGGGTGACAACCATCATAACGTCCACTAATAATTGCTTGTTTTTTGGTAACCTGTAATTGTGAGGTTGTAAAAGTCCTCAGACGCTCCTGCTATAGAAAACCAAGACAACTCTTGTTTAAAGTATAGTTTGTATCAATTAACCCCTCCTCATCATCACTGCTAAATATAAAAATCTTACCTCACACCTGGCTAGGCTTGCCCAAGGCTGGACAAAGGCTACAGCTCTGGTTTTCTGTCTATCATACTCTAATCCTTATACACTGAACCTACATATAAAGAAAGGACCCTAACTCATTGCATACACAAATTGAACTATGGGCAGCCTATGGTGAAGGGGTACAAACCTGAATGAAGGATATATTCTGTGTATGCAAAGCGCAGATTCACTAGGTTAGTGAATCTACTGACTCTCCACAGTGGGTATGTTAGGTAATCCAAGTAATGATTCATAATACTGGTACTCACAAATCATAATCTTTAAAGGCATTGTACACTTTCAAATGCTTATGATGTTTTACCCAGTGACAAATGGAGAAAGAACCCCCCAACAGTGCTTTTTAGGCAGAGTCAAATATACAAACATACATACATTTGTATTTTTTGACTCCACCTAAAAAGTCCCATTGGGGGGTTCTCTGTCACTTGCTTACTTGAGACATTGGTGGAATATTGTCTTTGAACATCTCACCTTGCATTAACTTGTATGTCGAATGCTGTTCTACCTAGGCATTAGTGTATTTATACTCTGTGTTTGTCTTACCTTGTAATGATGGGCTCACATGGTGTGGCGGCATTATGTAGTGTTGTGGCTGACCAAATCTCCTATGTCCATGTTTTTATTCACCTACCTTATCCTTATTCCCTAAAGGGACAATCAACTTCTTGTTCTGGGTCACGAAGCATCCAGTCCGTGCCCAGATATTCTGTGTTGCAGCACAAATGTAGGAGTGCTATTGTGATCAAAACACATCTTTTCCCTTCATTGCTCTGCTTGCTTGTGTCTGTTAGATCTAATTACTGTACCTACCTGCACCAGTGCTAGACTGAGAGACCCAGGGATTTCAGGATATGTAGTTTCTTCACAGGAAATGTCAATTCTTAGACTACAGACAGAGGTCATACATTAAACTGTGCAGCGCCATGCTGCATGCCTCATGGTTGAACACAAACATACATTTCTGTACCCAGAATGTGAAGATTTACTTTGCTATAGGCTGTGCATACATGCAAGCAAATGACACCATAAAACTGAATGATCAAGCACATGAGAAGCACAAGGTGCAGGTGGGAAGGTTTATGATGTCTTCAAATTCGCAGTATTTATTGAATTTGGCTATATGTGTACCCTAACCTGCTTGCTCTGGACCCAATTGCTGTATGTTACTTGATATGTTAACGATAATGATGGACCAAATGGACAGGAAGCCTATTATGTATTTGAAAATAAATAACTCAACTGTTCTCATAATCTGTGAAATGTATTACATGTTTATCACTAGCTGCCCTTCATAAAAATGAAGAGGCCCTTTTACAGTGTAAAGCAGTTGTATTCAATTTTCGTTAATGTGGGAGGGGAGGATAGTGGCAGAAAAAAAAGGCCATTTGGCCTGTCAAAGTCAATTGACAGTTATTTCTCCTATATGGCAGGAAGAAAAAAAATCTTTGCATTGGAGCCGCCCCCCCCCCCCCCCGCGCTGCGCAGAGTTAGATACTTGTTAGGTCTAGGGGTACAGGAAGGGGTTGCATTATTTGCCCATCTCCCCGCTTACCAGCTCCAACACTCTCTTCTTGTCCCCAAAGCTCCGGTCTGTGGGCGGTCCCTCAGGATAATCAAGTACAGTGCAGGGATATTAACCCTGTGTTGTATGTGGAGGGGGGCAAGTGTGTGACCACGGCTGAGAGGAGCTTAGCAAGGAGGTTGTGGAGGACTGGTCCGCTGCTGGAGGTACCCTGCTGGAGCAAGGAGGGAGGTAATATAGCTTTTTCTGCAACCCCCTGGGGTGGCCCACTGCAGGGGTATTATTTTTGTGTCTGGAGGTGGGCTTTAGGTAGTGAACAATCTATGGGACACTGCAGCCTGCATTTTATGAATGAGATATATGCAGAAAGTTGCATATCTTTTATTCGCTAACTTCAGTTACTGAAGATATAATTTATTGAGACTTGTTATATACAAAGCCCTAAAAAAAAGACCTAAAAGATCCCAAAAGTTTGCATCTTTAATAAATTAAAGGTGTCACCTAAACTCCTAACTTTCTGCATTAATTGATGGCTAACGTAGTTATAAGAGTCTGCTATTCATATAAATGGAGTAAAAATGCAGAATACAGAGTAACCACTGTGGTGTTTAGCGGAGAATGAAGAGAAGCAGCCAATCTCTGTTTTTAATAAGCCCCTAAGAGGCTAAGATAGCATAACAGTTTACAAACAATCAAGCAACCCTTTATTCCAAACAGCAATCAGATACTATGCTGTCTACCTGTCTTATCCAATATTTGCAATAAAGGTTGTCTACTTATTATGTATTAAAATAAACCAATCAGCCATAACTTTATGACCACCCACATAATATTGAGTAGGTCCCTATTTTCCTGTCAAAACAGCCTTTTTTGCTGCCAAAATAGCTCTGATCTGTCGAGGCATGAACACCACTAGACCTCTGAAGGTATGTTGTGGTATCTGGTACTAAGCCACCAACAGCAGATCCTTTAAGTCCTGTAAGTTGTGAGATGGGGCCTGCATGGATCAGACCTGTTTTCCAGCACATCCCAGAGATGCTCGATTGGACTGAGATCTGGATAATCTGGAGTCCAAAAAACACGTTGAACTCGTTGTGTTCCTCAATCCATTATTAAACAATTTTTGCAGTGTGGAGAGTGCATTATCCTTCTGAAAGAGGCCACTGTTATCAGGGAGTACAGTTTCCATGAAGGGGTGTACTTGCTGACTAACAATGTTTAGGTAGGTGGTACATGTCCAGTAACATCCACATGAATGGCAGGATCCAAGGTTTCTCCACAGAGCATTTCCCAAAGCATCACTCTGCCTACACTGGCTTGCCTTGTTATGATAATGCATCCTGGTGCTCCAGGTAAGTGATGCACACAAACCTGGCCATCCACATAATCCAAAAGAAAACGTGATTCATCAGACCAGGCCATCTTTTTCCATTGCTCCTTGGTCCAGTTCTGCTCAAATATTCTCAATGTAGGGGCTTTTGGCTACGGACACGGGTCAGCATGGGCACCCTGACCAGTGTGGGGCTATCCAGACCCATACATAACAAAGTGTTGAAAGCAGAAAAAATGGGCATCACAGTTTATGTACAGCAGGTTACTTATTGCCTTATCCCACCGACATTGAGATTCCAAAATCAATGTTCATATATATATATATATATATATATATATATATATATATATTTATTTATTTTATTTGAAAGATTGGTATTCATATATTCTGGTAAATAGCAGATTCATGTAACATTAATAATCACCTCCACACCATCCTATAGTAGAAGTACTGCTACAGGACGACGCGGGTGTGCAAAATCACGTATATATATATATATATATATATATATATATATATGTGATTTTGCAGTTCCAGGTAGGGGGCGCGGGGACCGACACCCAGCAGTCTCCGAGGATTTCCGACAGGGGAGAGACCTGCATGCAAACTATACAGATCTCTCCTCTGTCAGCTCCTGCACACCGCTTTGTATGGCTCTGCATAGCAGAGCCATACAAAGTAGTGTGCTAACAGTAAAACACACACACAGCTCACATAGTAAAACAGCACAGTTAACCCTTTGATCGCCCCACATGTTAACCCATTCCTGCCCAGTGCCATTAGTACAGTGTCAGTGCTTTTTATTAGCACTGATCACTGTATTAGTGTCACTGGGGATGTCAGTTCCCCCCAGTGTCAGAATGCCCGCTGCAGTTCTGCTATAAGTTACTGATCACCACCATTACTAGTAAAAGCTATAACTTTCACATAAACCAATTAATTTACATGTATTGAGATTTTTTTTTGGAAAGACATGTAGCAGAATGCATTTTGGCCTAAATGTATAATGCCATTTTGTTTTATTTTTTTTACTGGACATATTAAATAGTAAAAAGTCAAACATATATATAATTTTAAAATTTTTTATTTTTTTGTTTATAGCGCAAAAAATAAAAACCACACAGGTGATCAAATACCAATGAAAGAAATCTCTTTTTGTGGGAAAAAAAAGGACGTAAATTTCATTTGGGTGCAGCGTTGCATGAAAGCGCTATTGTCAGTTAAAGAAACGCAGCACCGTACCGCAAAAAATGGCCTGGTCAGGAAGGGGGGGGTGAATCTTCTGGAGGGCAAGTGGTTAATAACAATAGCGACATCCCCAGAAAGGAACAAAAATAAAGTTCAAAACAACAAAAGGAGAATAAAAAGATGTGATAATAGTATGGGTTTTTGTCAGGCACATGACTCCTTAAAATCAGGTTGAATATCAATGCGGGTCAGGGGCGGATGGCCCCTCCCTCTCTGACCATTTGGCCCGGGGTCAGTAGGGGGCCCCATGAGATGCCCCTGGTACCTTTTTCATAGGCTTTTTTGAGTTTGGGCAAGGACACAGGGGCCTCATGATCCCCTATTGCCCAGGGCTGCATGAGTTGTCAGTCCGCCCCTGATGCGGGTTATTCAGTTCAGAAAATGTGATGTAAAATTTTATGTGGGGAAAAAACCTTAAAGCATAACTAACGTTTTGGACAGAGTGGAGACGGATTAGAACACTTGTTAAGTTTGTATTGCAGTCTT